TATGCATGGGAAAGAGCAGGTAGAGAAAGAGGTACTTTTCTCCCTTTCTCACAATACAAGAATCGTGGGCACTCCATGAAATTGCTGAGCGGTCGGGTTAGAACGGATAAAAGGAAGTACTTTTTCACCCAAAGAGTGATTAACACTTGGAATTCACTGCCACAGGAAGTGGTGGTGGCTATAAGCATGGACGGCTTCAAAAGGGAATTAGATAAGCATATGGAGCAGAGGTCCATCAGTGGCTATTAGCCACAAGGTATACCAACATTGGCGTCTCTTATGTTCTTATGGCTTCAAAAGGGAATTAGATAAGCATATGGAGCAGAGGTCCATCAGTGGCTATTAGCCACAAGGTATAGATAGGGACTCTGGGGCAAGTGATGCTCTGTCTTCTTGGTGCTTGGGGGGGTCTTCTAATGTCCTGGCCCCACTGGTGGACCTCCTGATGGCACTGGTATTTCTGGCCACTGTGTGATACAGAGTGTTGGACTGGATGGGCCTTTGGCCTGATCCAACATTGGCATCTCTTATGTTCTTATGTTCTTATGACTGGGGTAGCCTGGACCATCCAGGTTTTCAAGGAAAGAGACGGACAGAGGTGGTTTGCCATTGCCTGACTCTTCATAGCAACCCTAGGCTTCCTTGGTGGTCTCCCATCCAAGTACTAACCAGGGCCGACCCTGCTTAGCTTCCAAGATCTGATGAGATCAGGTTAGCCTGGGCCATCCACGGCAGGGCAAGTATTGCCAAGCAACAAGAAATTGCTCCGTTTTAGCTATGTCTTGGCTTTAAAGAAACATTTCAAATAATAAAAGCTGTAAATATAAGAAGTAGTAATTAAAACCTGCAATACAACTACATTTCTAGGCAAGAGAGATTTGGCCTCTCAGAGTCAAGCAGAATGTACTCTGTTGGGGATGTGAGGGAGCTCAGAATGCCGCCGATAAAGACAGATTCTACCGCCTCGTCAGTCTGGTCTGAGCTCCATCGGGGCAGTTTCGAGGCTTAATCCGCGAAAAGGATCTGGGAGGATACATTTGATTTTACTTTCTGGGTTTGCACACCGTTGCGTCTGGCTTGCCCTCTAGGTTCACTTAAATTCAGTATGACTTGAGTCATCCTGGGGGGAGGGACAGAATGCCCACCACCCATGCTAAGTGCACTATCCTGTCTGTTACCCAAGGTTCCTTCTTCCTACAGCTGGAGAATCTGTGGACTTCGTTCCCCTGCCAAACTGGCTCTCTCAATGGTCTCTTGCTGGCGAGGGGCCCTTCTGGGCACTGGATCTGTCAGTGAGACCAAAATGGTGAGACAGGATGACCTACTGCAATGCCCGTTCTACCAGCTGGGTCAACAGAGCGGCTCTGTGAAGATGGTTTCATATAGTAGCTGTGTTTGTCTGCAATAGAAACAGCTGGATTTGACTTTAGTAGCAGCTTAGAGACCAACAAGATTCTAAGCTTTTGAGAGTCAAAGCTTCCTTCGGCAGACTTGAATATAGCTGTTCTACAAGGCTGACTGTTCACAGTCTCTATTACGAACTAGCTGCGACAGATCAGAAACCTTTAGAATGATCTCTGTTAAGGGGGGGGGGGGGGGAGAGAAAGAAAAAGTGTACATTTCTAGGCCACCAAATCCCCTTTCAAATCAGCCATGATCGGGGAGATGGGGCCGCACCTTGCCTCCGGATAAAAGATTCTGAGATCTACCTTCTGACATTAAAGGAATAATTCATTTCCCACTGCCTTTCCTAGATGGGCAAGAAAGCTCAAACCCTCTTCGGGAGTTAAACGAGTGAAACAGAGGTGGTTGTGACACAGAACTAAGTCAACTGCAGCGCTACTCACCACAACTGCAAACTGCTCCGGCTCCGACAAGTTATTATATTCACTCTTCCACTTGGGCAATTCACCAAGTTGTTTTTGTTCAGGAAGGTACTTAATTAAATTCTGCATGAAATAAAAATACACCTTCACTTGGTAAGTGTGCCAAGGATTTTCTACGGAACATCGCAGCAGAGAAAAGGGTCAGCTCGGTACTGGAAGGCACAGAGAACTTCGCACAAACAAGTCGAGCAGTAAGTGACATACAAAAACCACATGCTGATCTGTGTTACTGAACACTAAGCAGAGGCACTCATGCCCTGGAGGTTGCAAAAACGCATCAAAGCCTCAAGACTGGGGGGTGCTCTCTGCCTCTCAAACGACAGAAGTCTTTTAAAAGAACAGCAGCTGTGAAATCCCATAATAAATGCTGCTGATTTGACGGGGGGGGGGGGGGAAAACCGGGGGCCCAGATTCCCTTTAGGACTTTGACATCCCAACATTATCTAAACTGCCGTTGAATGGGAATCGGCTGATTGAATTCTATGGGCTTGATTTAGAGTGGTGGTTCTGGAACGGACGTCAAGTGCTCAGGCTACTTGCATGGCCTTTACAGCAAAAGGGACCACAGTTGGGTGGACAACATACCACCGTCTTCTTTAAAGTCACGTGTAAATGCGAGCACTGTTTTAAAACCTAGCGAATACAGTGGGTGTGCACCCACCCAACTGCAGTCTTTGCAGAGTTGAATTTTCCCACTGGCTCTACCTGCGGCAACCCACTGAGCCCAGCAGACCCTTGGGAAGGATGTGTGGGGCAAACCAGGAGCCCGCAGTGCGAAGAGGGACCCAGCATTAACCATGCTAGGCACGTCTGCTAGGAAAGTGATAGTTTTAATTTCAAATCGAGAAGTCAGGAAAGGTATGCTTATTGTTATAGTCAAATCCCAGGTGCACTGTTTTCCCAAAAAGATCGAAACTATATTCCCGATATTTCACGATACAGATGACCGTGCTCTTCCTGACTTTCCCATGCAGAATTAAAACGGGGGAGGGAGGGACAGTGAGGAAAGTGCTCCTTCCTGGTTGGCGGAGCGTGAGGCCCTTAAAAACTGAAAGGGCCATTCTTTCCTATGGGGTAGGCCCAGCCTGGGAAATTTAGAAGCCAGGTGTACCCTATAGGAAATCAGCCCGTTAAAACTTAGAGAGCCCATGCTCTGCTAACCAGCTGGGGAGGGGGCTTGAAATTATGAACAGGAAAACTGGCCTCCATAAATCCAAAGGTCGTGCCCACCACTCATACGAAATAATGTCCCCTTAATGGGGACTGAGTCCCTCGTGGGACTAAGAGAAGCCCAGTATGTGGGGCTAAGGCCCGCCCCCCTATTCTCCTCCTGTTCTGCAGGGTGAGCTCAGCCGTCAATGGGCTGGCCTGGAATTCCCACACACAGTGTGGATACAAACAGCTCAAGGATTGGCAGGGGTGGGCTCTCACCGGACAGGTAAGAAGTTATGGGATAGTAGACCTGACCTCTGGAGTCCAGGTCTATTGCCCATTATTTAGAAGGTCCCCCACCATCTCCACTTTAAACTTTAAAGACCCATTTTTTCCAGTGGGGATACACTTGACCTCCCCATTTAAAACAACAGTCCTTTAAAGGGCAGGTGCACCTTGGACCACCTGGGCAGCTCTTCCTACTCCAAAGCTGCTCCTACCTCACTGAGGATTCCCAATTATGATATTATCATGAGTGATAATTTTGAAATCCAAAACTGCATCAGGGGCTGGAGCGATATCTTATCTAGATGGCCAGATCTTACTGCGTACTCCCTAATCATCCTCCCCTCTTCTGCAAACTGTACTGCCATCTTGCTGGAAGAACTGTGCGACTTGATACATGCCATATATTTCTAGTTCTGGTTAGTGTAATTGATTCAATACTATCATGCTGTACAGAAGGGATTTCTGCAGCACTTCCCTTCCTACAGCAGCCGATGAAAAGCCCATTCTGAGGGTGTAGGAGCCACCGGAAACTCTATGAGCATAAGGGGTTGCAGACCGCAGGTAGAATCGTCATATTTTCAACACCATCACGCCAGAGGAGACTTTTCAGAAGTACATGACATTGATTTCTGTGCCAACCACCAGCCCCCGGCCACAGAGCCTCCCTCTGACTATCCCAGCCCTCTTGGATCTGTGGCTTTTGCCAGCACCCACCCCTTTTCTATCTTCACATGTCCCACGTAACTCTTCCTCGTAAAACCTCAAGTCTGCTCCTCGTACTCTGCTTCTCCCAGGTGACACATCCTGCCAGTCAAATACCTTCCATTCACTTTCCCCGCCCCATCCAGCCCTCCTTCCTTTCCCATCTTCTTTGGAGACGTGGCCACACAACTGTCTCTTGTGTGAGATCTTCTTAGGCTACTTGCGAGTGAAACACTAACTGGGCACCATAATGTCTCAAGATACTGGGAGCTGCTTGATTTGGGAGCTGCTTGATTTATCATTTGATTCAAATTGCTATTTTGCTGCTAATTACTATTTAGATGTGTCAAAATACTGCACTGCCAAATTCCATTTAAATAGCCTTTCCTTCTCACCTTTGACTTTGACTACAAAAAGAGGGAGAGAGTAATCTAGTTAGGTCCAAGTGCCTCTTTTCTTTCTTGGGTGAATAATGCTCCAGTTCACATCTGTACAGACCAAAATCCCAGAAAAAAATGGTCTAGGGCTTGTACCTGTGGAAGGCCCCTACATATATAACTCTAGATCTATGGGTAACAGGACCCTGTTGAGGCGTCAGCTATTTTAACTTTGTCATCTGGATGAATGAGAACACAAATGCAAACAATTAGCTCCTGGGAGACTTTTATAATAACAACTGGAGCTTTAGTTTTATTGAGCAAAGCCTTTGAAGATTAACTAAACTGAAATAATTTCAGTTTACCTATAAAAAGGAATTTAGAAACTGACAGTTTTGTTGAAGAGGCTGTGTTATTGGTGCATGCTCACAGCTTTTACGCTTTCACTCATTAAGCAACACATTAAACAAAAGTAAATGCCTGCAACCCGAAAGGCTTCTTGTCTCCAGAATAGACCTGCATCGATTTCCTGCTTTGAATAAGAGACTGTACAATATGACAGGCTATACAAGTAAAATCCAGGGAAGAATTTATTAGTAACAGGCTGACAAAGCAAGATAAAGCCAGGGTCCCATGTCATGTCAGCCAAAATAGAGTAAAAAAAACCCTCTTCAGCCCAAAATCTCATGCTACCCATATTCAAACTGCAGTGTAGCGCATACTAAGAGGCACAACATGAGACTCGGAAGCAACATGCCCCAGACAGTTGACAACTGAACTCAAATACAGTGCAGTTCTGAAGAACATCTTCTAAGAATTAATTTCTAGTTTCAGATCAAGATGGGTAGCCATGTTAATCCGTCTGAAGCAGCAGAAAAGAGAGTCCAGTAGCGCCTTAAAGACTAACAACATTTGTGGCAGGGGAGAGGCTTTTGTGTGGCACTGTCATGATCTGGGCTGTGCCACCAGAGGCCTACTAGGCTTAGGGAGCCTGGCTAGCAGTAGGTGAGGCTGGGCCTACAACTCCCAGAAGCCCCTGAGAGGTTTTGGAGCCAAAATTGACCAACAGGAAAAGAGGAGGGCTTGGAATAAAAGATCTGGAGCAGCAGGAAAAGCTGCTCTTCTTCCCGGAGGGCAGAGCCAGAAGGAAGGCTGCTGCAGGAAGAAACCCTCATCCTGAGGGAAGGGTGAGTAGTCTAAGGCCACTTGGAATAGTGAGCTAGAGACAGTATATATTTAGACACGTTAGGGCATTTGATTTCTTTTCTTTTCACCCACTTACTGTTATTATTCTGCACCTTGTTTGTTTGACCGCTTATAAAATAAACTATTTTCATTGTTCACTCTGCCTGGTCCTCACGCCTGTTATTCGGCCAAAAGGGAGGTCTGAAGGTCTTGGGAGGGTGCTCTGGGCCTTCTCAAGGGAACCTAAATCCAGAGTGGTGGCAGCGTCAGGTGACACCCCACCTGAGCCGTGACAGGCACAAAAGCTCCTACTCCACCACAAATTCCGTTCAACTTTAAGGTGCCACTGGACTCTGGCTCTCTTCTTTATTTACATCATCTCCTGCCAACCTGCCCCCAGGCACAGGCGTATGAAAAATCCAAGTTGTACAGATCAAATATGTGCTTGTGAGACAAAAAGGGCCATTGGTAATTACCGTGAAGGTACATCATCACCTGCCAACCTGCCCCCAGGCACAGGCGTATGAAAAATCCAAGTTGTACAGATCAAATATGTGCTTGTGAGACAAAAAGGGCCATTGGTAATTACCGTGAAGGGTCCTTCTCCCTCTGAGATAAGGAGGACATCTTGATGGGTGTTTCCAACCCTATCCTTAGGGAGGCAGGAACCAAAACTTCACTTCCTGTCCTCTTGGTGGGACACGCCCTCAATTCAGTTTGGTAACTCCCAGTGGCAGTAATGCATCGAACAACATCTTAATAACTGAGCCAACTTCAGCTGAACTGCAAAAAACTGAAACTATTAATAGACAAGGACTGAGACAGGGACAGGAAGGACCAAACAGATAAAGAAGATATAGAACTGGCAGAAAAAGATGACAATGACACGGGAAGGCCAAGATGTCCTCCTTATCTCAGAGGAGAAGGACCCTTCACGGTAATTACCAATGGCCCTTTCTCCCTCTGAGAGGAGGACATCTTGATGGGACCTCCTATAGCAGTGTCCTCAGTATTTGGGTGGGTCATCGTCTGCATCTGTCAAAACATGTCGAAAGACTCTGTGCCCAAAGGCCGTATCAGCAGAGTCGAAGCGATTGCTCTTATAGTGTCTAATGAATGTGTATACAGAGGATCACGTGGCAGCCTTGCAAATTTCTCCCACTGTGGCCCGGCTGGACAAAGCCACGTTCATTGCTACACTTTGGATCAAAAGAACCGTTATGTCTGGTGGAGGAACCAGCTTCTGTGCCCTATAGGCCTCAGCAATGCACTACTTGAGAGTAGAGCTGGCAGTGGACTTGGACATCTTACACCCCTTAATGGGGGTAAAATGGGAATAAACAGCGATTCTGACTTCCTAAAGCTGCGTGTGCAGAGGAGAAGGTCTCCAGAGCCCGTCACACGTCCAACGAGTGCCATAGTCTTTCCTTGGATGAAAACATATTTGGGCAAAAGGAAAGAAGATAGAACTTCTGAGATCCGTGGAATCAAGAGTTTGCTTTAGGCTGAAAGGTAGGATCTAAAGACAGCACTACCTTGTCCTATGGAGCACACAAAGTCTAGGGTTGGCAGAAAGAGCTCCCTGCTCTGGCACCCTAT